GATGTGTTATGAGGAATGAAAGATTTAATCTTTCGTTAGATCATTTTTATGTTTCACTGTGGCTGACACCTGAGATTGGTGATGATTATGATTGAGAAATATATCATTTTACCACATTTCTTATATTTTCACACCACACTTCATCTTCAGAGGCGGCAGTGGCCTGCTGGCAGTAAACGTGTCACCAGCCTCCCAATGTAAACACTGTAGTAGTCTACTTACACAGCATGCTCTCTAGCAAACAGGACATGACTCGCATTCAGATGAGGAGCACTGCTGCACTGCAACGCTCTTCCTCCCAAGCACCGGCGTTTTTTTTTTTTATTCTATAAAGTAATGCAGTTGTTTGGGAATCCAACTTTGAACCCATCCTCCATCCACACACCCATACACACAGACACACACACCCTTCTGAAAGCAGACAGTGTTGAAATCCAGCCATCTCGTTATCAGATGGAAGCTGCTTTTTTTGTCGATACAGACTGTGGGGTGAGGGGAGGGCTGAGGCATGATTGAGGGGCTGTGGGTCATATGACCCTGAACCCCCTCCTGAAGAAGTGCAACATGCAACCTGGCAGGAGGATAAATTTTGCATAAATCTGTTTTGGGCTCCTGTCATTTTGCACTTGTGTCCCTGCATGTTATATATCCAGTTCTCAGCCCCTTTACTTATCTCACTTTCCTCCTCTATGATCATGTTTGTAGCAAAAAATAACCTCCTCTCATGTTCCTGTAGCAGTTCCTGAAGTTGTTATTGGGGATTAACATTCTCCCCCCTTTGAATCCTGTGGCCTGGAACATTCTGCAGATTCTTCACATAGTCCGGCGACTGGACGGATACCTTTAGAACAAAAAACAAACAATGCGCAGAACTTGTCTGTCCCTCGGCCTATTAGCGATGCTTCCACACCCCCCTCGCTGCTGTATTTAACGCCGGCTGTAGGGATGCACCAGCCGCCAAGAAGGCGACTCCTCTGTGCTGACCGTTGTCTCGTTTACTATTGATGAAATGGACCTGGCCACTCCTCGTGTCGCAGTGCTCTGGTGAACAGCGGGTGCAGGCTGGTGGTTGGCTATGGTGTCTGACCTGACTGTGTTTGCTCAAAAGAGCAGGAGGGAGGAGGAGGAGGAGGAGGAGGGGGGGGGGTTGTGTAACTACTGTATGAGAGGAGCAGCATTATAAACCTCCTTACCCCCACTCTCAGCAGTTTGACTTCTTTGACTCTGCAGCCTCAGATTGTCTAAGTTTTTGTGAGTCTCACAACAGTTGCTTAATGTAGCAGAGTATGTACGTAACAGGGTCGAATCTCAAACTGCTGATGCTTCTGATTTATTCCTGTTCATATTAAGCATCCACTCAGGGGACTACGCAGATGATGGCTTGTCTTGTGAGGAGCCCCTTGTTAGGTAGTCCCTCTCCTTTGAAGTAGTGGAAACCTACAATGCCCCGCATAGCTATGTGTGGAGAGCAGCAGCGTGGAAATAGGGCTGCATTAGGAGCATCTATAAATAGGGGATTGTATCCTTGATACCACGGGTTGTTTGGTCACGCAGTGAAACCGGGTCGACTTATATGGATTTAAGGCAGCGACTCCCCCTCCCTCCGCTTTTCCTCTGGCGGAAGGTATGCATGTTTGGAATTTTTCTTCATTGAGGAATCTGTTAAAATGATGCGGAAGGAGCGGACCTCCTCCAATAACGCTCATTAGAGTTTGGCTTGGCTGCCCCCTTTTGGTAGGATTCCAAGAAAATGAAGCCTCACTTATGTTTCTCTCTTCTTCTTCTTTTTTTTTTTTTTCTCTCCTCACGCTGCAAATGTGCAACACTAATCTGCCTGCTTTAAACACACTAATGTCAGCATCATATTTCCAATCAAATCACAGCTGTTATGTGAGAACCTGTGTGTGTTGGCATTTGATGCTGTCGTTTTAAAAAAGATCTTTGCTATTTGTATTGGACCAGATCCAGGATAGTTAGATACACTATTTGTGAAGTACCAAAGAGCCACTCAACTCCTGGTGTGACAGAACATGTGCGTAGTGAGAAGCTAAACATAGCACAGGAAAGGCCATAAAGCTAAATACCTGACTTATTTGTGTCGACCTGGAAATTTCCTTACAGACAATAACTGTGGTGTGATTTCAAGGTATGTCTTATCACTATAGTAAATTCATGAAGCACAGCAGCATATTGTGCCAGGTCTGCTGAATGAGAGGCATGCCTTGTATTTTCTTTTGTCATAGAATCCTTTTCTTCAATATCATATTTGACCAAACGCGAGAAAGAATGGCAAGTATTTGAGAAACTGTCAGAAGTGGGAGTGATCGGTATCCTTTCCATATGAAGCGAAACTGGAGTTGGCACTGTGGGAGTGTGTGTTTGCTCTGCATTGCCGTAGGGCACCGTCATGTTCTTAACCTACACAGATGTTCCGTAAAGCAAGACGAAATATTCATCACGAGATCAGCTCAGGAGCCTGCTTCTTTTTCTTGACTGATTTACAAATCGAACAAAAACAAAATGACACAAAATGCTCCGAAACCTGCACTTAATTTAAAAGCACATCAACAAGCGCAGTACCTTTTCCTCTTTGTCTCTGGCACACATGAATATCCACATACCGACATGCATGTGCACACATGTTACGCACACATGCGCACTCATTCTGCATCCTGTGCTCTCCAATAATAGTATCTTGCAAATTATAACATACATGAAAGAGATTGGTAAAATGTGTTTGTCTGTATTTTTGTGTGTATGTGTGTGTGTGTGTGTGAGTGTGCACATTTCCTTTCAGCTCTGGCTTTGCACCAGGAGGCGGTTGCTAAGGAACCAGGAGTGCTGTGCCTCTTATTTCAGTTCGGTTCAGTGTAGTTCAGTTCAGTTTTATTGCCCATGTGGGGAAATTTGTCTTGCAGCAATAACAAAGAGCATAACAATAAATAGTAAACACTTAAGGCCCCCAAAATATAAACAACACAAGGATTTGGAGGCCAGCCAGGGCTTTGCTGTTTGCACAATTTCTACGATGCAGATATGGCAGATTTGAGAAAGGAAAAAAAAAAAGAGATAGATTTATGATCTGTTACAAATTTTCCCCAAAGAAATCCAAACTCTTCATTCATTTTTTTTTCTCCTCCCCCAGAGCAGCTCTTTATTTGGACAGAGACTCTTCAAACAACAATCATTAGCAGAAAAATCCCTTGTTACGAGGCCTTTCACAATCATTCATATAGGTCCACACACACACACACACACACACACACACACACATGCACACGCACACACCAGGTGCTTTTTCTATGGAGTGGACTCATCTGAAACTAGGACACCCCTGCCTGCAGTGTCTCAAGATTAGCTAGCAGTGGGAAACGTCTGCTTTCTTCCCTTTTACATCTGTTTTTCTTGAAGAGCTTCTCTGTAAATAGGCTACAGTAAAAATGTTTTTGAACATTAAAAACAGACGCCTCTCTTTTTACCAGTTTTATCTGCGTCACTGTTAATTTAAGAGTAAGAGAGATGGAATTAACCCCAGTAGTTAGGAAGACTACAAACAAAGCGCTGATCTAATCCCTGGTATGGAAAGACTTACTCTCGAATAATGAAAGCTGATACACTAATGGTCATGTTGCAAGATAAACCTGATGAACCGTCAGGATGTACAATCTGCGAAATGTACTGTCTGTCTGCCCTAAGCCATGGGAAAACTAACTATGTGTTATTGATAACATATTGCTATGTGTTTTGGTGATGCACAGTAAACAGTGAGGAGCTTCTATTATTCATGTTGCTCAAGCTTAATATGAAACACACAATCATTTTCTGTGATTTTTTTTTTTCTCCGAGCCTGCGAGGATGTACAGTTTCTCTCTCTTGAAAGCTGTAGTGATAAGTGGGAGTAGGAGTTTGATTCAAGCCGCAGTTGTCTTTTCTTTCATTGTAGCAGAATATTTTCAAAAAAGGAAGACATTGTTTTTGTCTGAACTGTGATTGAAAAGATGATTTAATATATTTTTAACAGACTTTTCAACAGCACTTTAGTTGACGATTTGGTTCATGGGAAAAGAATGGGCATACATGCGGCGCTATGTGTTTCAGAGAACAGCGGGTTTGTTCAAATTAATCATTGAACTGAAGGGAGGTCTGCTGCTTTACCAAAAAGCTCGCCTTTGATTTCTGACAGTGGCGACACTCCCTTTCCTCTGTGGTAGTTCTCTCCAAGACTGCGACTGTGCTTGCTGATAACAGTTTTGTAGCTCACTAGTCCTAAAGTCTGACACCTCTTCTCTTGTTATATCCAGAGCCCAGTCATGCAAAACAAAATCAAAGATTGTAAAAAAAAAAAGAAAAGCATCTGTCTGTCTTCACAGACTAATATTGTGCTGATAACAGAAAATCCCCCTGTACATGCAAATTTCCAGATTTAATAAAGTGGTAAGCAAGTGTATTAAGCAAAGCTGTAAAATTTATTGCAATCCAATACAACACATCTGGTACGAAGGCATAAATGCGAACGCACTCAAAGAGGTATTTATTTAACTACAGCATATGCTGTATGATGCAGTGAAGTGTGTTTCTAATATTCTTCCCGGTTCTGTTTGTAACTGGGGTGGACAAATCAGAAAACAGTCTAATGCAGTCCAGTGCAACAGAGACCTCAGTGATAAACAGTTAAATTAACAACTTCAGGCAAAAAATCTGAATATTGTAAGATTTAAGAATATGTTGCACTGGATTGCATTAGGTTGTAAAGCTGCCAGGGAGTGTAAAGAATGCACACCGACTCCTGGAAATATTTATTTGCTAAGTAGATAACAAAAACATGCAACTTCATAATTCTTGCCTCGTTTTTCCTATTTAGCAAGTTCTGAAGGTATGCTGGATGTCTCTTGACTCTTAAATCTGTTCTTTATCACCCTTGATTTTTGTAGGAAATGTGTCAGACTGCTTACACCCACCCAAAACTGATCTCTTCCCCCGTGTTTCTCTGTCTCCACCAGTATGCCCATCACACTGCAAGCTCGCCTGCACAGACAAGGGAGAGTGCTGCCACAGCCAGTGCCTCGGTGGCTGCACCGAACCCCACAGCGACATGGCCTGCTCCGCCTGCCTCCACTACTACCACGAGGGCCGCTGCGTGCCGGACTGTCCCCCGGACACCTACAAGTTTGAAGGCTGGCGCTGCATCACCATGGACCTGTGTTCGCAAGTGCACCTGCCCAGCGACACTCACTTCGTCATCCACGGCGGAGAATGCATGCCCGACTGTCCCTCCGGCTTCACACGCAACGAGACGAATCGGTAAAGACGCACCCTCCTGGTTTAGGTTGTGATTATTTGGAAATGCAATGACAGTTGACACATTGAATGTACAAAACATTAGGAGGAGCTAATTAGCATTTGTACCTAAATTGCATTTGACATTATTTCTCAGGTTTCTCAATGCTTAACTGTTCTTCTTTAATGTTGTGTATTTGAATTTCTAAGGCATCACAAACTTGATTTTGCAGGGTTTCATTTTCTGGCTAGATTTCTGTAAAGAAAAAGAAAAAGTGTGTTCATTTTTTTGTCTTCACATTCCCTAAAGCAGTTTGTATTCACTGTGCACTTGAGCATTTCATTTGCATGAAGTATCCTGAACACCTGACCCGGCCCTTTAAAATGCTCCTTTCTTAAAGAAGTTCTCATAACTGGAAGTGCCGGAGCATCCGAGGGTGCTGGGCTGTTAATGGTTCAAGTTTAGACTATTTAGAAAGAGTGAAACGTTCTCAACTGAGTGCCTTGTTTTCGCCGCCGGTAGGTTTTACAGACGAACACTCAAAGGTTGAAGAAAAGACTCGGCTGAAGTGTCTTAACGCTTCCTCCCCTTGACATTTCCTTTGTTTTAAACTGACCTGGGATAAGGAAACGTTTGTTTTGTTTGTTCATTGTTTCCCTCTCTGATTTGTCTTGTCAATCCCTGAAGTTTCCATGCAGACTCTCTGCTGCAAGATATTTTTCTGGCCATAGCGCTGCTGTTTTGTCTCTGAGGTCAACACAGTGAGTCACTCTCTCACGAAACCGAGTTCAGTTGAGGGCCCCATAAAAGATTAAACCCTCTGTGTGAGAGGTGACCTTTTATCGTGCACTGAATTTATTTGCATGGATCTTCTGGAATGTTTGGGAGTTAGGGAGTGGACAAATTATTTCAGGGCGAGGTAGAAAATTTCACATACAAGTTTGCCGTTTGACAGTTTTTTGCTTTTTGTTTTGTTCACGTCTCTCTTTTTTTTCTGTTCACCCGTTCCCCTGTCTACAGCATGCTATGCAGCGCTTGCAACGGCCTTTGTGATAAATTCTGCACGTCCCCTGTCATCGACTCTGTGGATGCCGCTCAGTCCCTCAAGGACTGCACTGTCATCGAAGGCAATCTGGACATCAACATTCGCCGTGGAAGTGAGTGCAGCTAGAAGGACGTTGCTCTTAACATCGCATACACTGTACATTTTTCAGTATAACTTAGCGGACTATTCTACAATACATTCCAGGAATTTTTTTGGTGGACTATCAGCTGCAACTAAGCTGATTATATACGCTAGTAGCTCTCAGACTGACTTACACGAGCCAACAGCATATTTTACTTGGCTACAATCTGCAATACAATACTCTATGTTAATCCTTTACTGAATACAGTAACTTTATTACAGTGTGTTGCACTTGTCCGTCCTGTTATTATTATGATCAGACAGATAGTGAGAGCAGAAGAACCCGGTGGTCTAAGCTGGTGGGATACACAGTGTGGCCTACAAAATCAACATTACATCTGCTTCCTGCACTCTAACCCAATTATCACATTATGCTATAATGCTGTTTATTTGCTCAGTTGACAGGGTGGCTCACAAGCTAATCTCCACATATGATAAAGCTTATACAGTTGAGTGCTCATTGGGGTATTTGCATTAAGAGCTAGATGGGGTATCATGGTAGCAGTGGAGGTCCTTTTTTTTTTAAGTGTTTCATAGGCTTTTTTGTATATCTGTGTGTGTGTGTTCCCCCCCCCCTCCTGTCCCCAGATAATATAGCTCCTGAGCTGGAGAGCTTCATGGGATTGATCCAGACAGTGACGGGCTATGTGAAGATTCGACACTCCCACGCACTTGGCTCGCTGTCCTTCCTCAAGAGCCTGCGTTACATCAATGGGCAGGAACTCATCGACAAGTATGGCTCGTCTGTGCTGTTTGTCTGCACTTTTTTTTTTTTTTGCCTCTGAACATGTGCATGCATGTTGTAGTGACAGGGATTTAGAGGACATGAGCAAACTGCAGCCTAGCAACGATGGTATTGTTTAAAGATACACAAATGTCAAAGTGACTTCTTGCAGAGTGTCGGCCCTGGACGTGTACATTAATATAAACTGATAAATCTAAATATAACCCTCAGGTCTTGTGACACGGATTCCAGATATTGTGGTATCCTTTTACAGATGATGCACAGAGTCATGCACGCAGAGCAGATAAGTGACTGTGGCTACAATGCTGAATGGAAAGTCTCAGGTCCATTAGTGTCCTCGCTGTGATATCAGCTGCAGTCTGAGATACGAGGGAAAGTTTTTTTGATGATGGCCAAAGGGGTCATGGGAAAGTCTGTCGCCCTTCTTGTTATCGTTTCTCCCAGGGTTAGGTTTCACTCAGAGGAATGCTGTTGGGGATGGCAGGCATTCCCTTTACTCTGGAGGTGTTCTGCTGTGTTACTTGGGCTGCTGGAGCTGAGAGTGTTGGCGTTGACACTGTTTCTGTTTCATGTCCTCCTCTGTGCAAATGCAGGCTCGCTGTCAGACACACACACACAAACCTGAGCCCACCTCCTTTAGTGCTGAGCACTGCCACCAGGTGGCAAAAAAAAAAGCTTTTTTTAACCACATTTCTGTCAACTTCATGTTTACACCCTACAGAAAAAGAAGTATATAAAATGTTTGTAACCATCTTTTTAATCTTCTTCTGCTATCAGCATGTATTCGTTCTCCGCCATCAACAACCAGCATCTGCAGTACTTGTGGGACTGGAGCCAGCACAACCTGACCATTCGGGCCGGACGTCTCTTCTTCCGCCGAAACCCCAAACTCTGCATGTCTGAGATCCACACGATGTGGGATAAGACGGGTATAGCTGTGAAGCCAGAGGAGGGCGATTTCCGTAACAACGGTGAAAGAGCCAGCTGTGAGTATATGTCTCTGAAGCTTACCAGATTTGTTTTCAGATTGATCTTTTTAAAAAGAAAAACACGTTTCACCGGGGACCCTGCTTTGTCACGACAGGTGAAAGTCACATCTTGAAGTTCAAATCTAACGTCACATCGAGTCACACAATCAGAATGTCGTGGGAACGCTACCAGCCGCCAGACTACGGACACCTTATCAGCTTCATAGTCTACTACAAGGAGTCGTGAGTACTCAGGAGATAAACAACTTGAACTCCGGACAGATGGATGAAAAGTTTTATTTTCATGCAAATGTTTTCTATTTTCAGCATTTTAACTGAAATTCAGACCTCAAAGCACAATTATTTCTTGAAAACACTAAACAATCATACCTGGAATTTTTTCTCAAATTGCTATCTTTGTCTACTTCTGCTCACATTTTCCAAAGATAGTGTTTTAGCTTTTGAGTTTGTGCCTTTTAAGCTACTCTGAATCCAGATGACCAATGGAAACGTTTTCCTAATGCAAAACAACCTAATTTAGAACATCCTCACAGCACTCATGTCTCGAGATCTTGGTTTGATTACCTGTAAGATTTTCCTACTGAACTGGTCAAACGAATGGCAAATCAAACTGTATATGCTTTGGAAGAATAATCGTAAATCAATTTAAAATGTGCAGCAATAAATAGAATACCATACAACCTAGAATGTGCTTTACTTTTATGCCAGCAGTCAGTCTGGATATGAGTAGATATCATTTTTTTTGTCTGTTTTTCAGTGAAATACTTGATGGCAATGATATGTGTCTTTTCCAGTCCTTTCCAGAACATCACTGAGTTTGATGGGCAGGATGGCTGCGGCTCAAACAGCTGGCACATGGTGGATGTGGATCTTCCTCAAGATAAAAACGCTGATCCAAGAGTCAGTCTCCAACATCTGAAGCCCTGGACTCAGTATGCTATTTTTGTGAAGGCTATTACCCTGCAGGTGGAGGACAAACACATAACTGGGGCAAAGAGTGATATTCTTTACATTCGCACACGTCCATCATGTAAGTCTGATCACCAGCTCGATGGCACCGATGCTGTAATCGTTGCTGCTGTTCAGTAAAAAAATGGTAACATGTCCTGACATTCTCACAGTGCCGTCTATGCCTAAAGATGCCCGCGCGTTTGCCAACTCCTCAACCAAGCTGGTGGTGAAGTGGTCGCCGCCGGCGTTTCCCAACGGCAACCTGACTTACTACCTGGTCCGCTGGCAGCAGCAGCCGGAGGACAGGGAGCTCTACCAACATAACTACTGCTCCAAAGGTCTGCATTACTCACTCCACAGAACAATAAACATCTCTTTTTATTGTCTGAACTCTTCTACCCACGAGCCCGTCCTCCGTCATTTAAAGAAATCGTTTGTTATTTTGGGAAATGTGCTTATTTGCATTCTTGCTGACATTGAGGTGAAAACATTGTAACCACTTGTTATCATGTCTGTACATTAAAAACAGAGGCAACAGCTGGTTAGCTTAGCTTAGCATAAAGGCTGGAAACAAAGGGATCTTATTCTATATGAGGGTAACTAAATTTACCTGCGCTCACAAACAAGGTGTTGAGTGTCTTGACATGTTAACTTCAGAAGTGTTGCCGTTGGACAGAATTGGGTTTTCCACCTGTTTCTAGTCTTTGTGTGTGGCTCGGCTAAGCTAACCAGCTTCTCATCTTGCTTTCAGATAAGTATATTTCCCAAAATGTATTTAAGTTCAAGGGCTGCTCTTCATTCAACACCGTTGTCATTCTTTTTCGGTTTGATAAATCAGAGCTGAAGATCCCGATCCGGATCCCAGCAACGGGACTCACGGACATGGAAGACAACACCAAGCCCACCAAGTCAGACCTGGCGGGGGCGGAGAAAGGTCCGTGCTGCGCTTGCCAGAAAACGCCGGAGGAGAAGGACCGGGAGAAGGATGACCGCGTCTTCTTGAAAGTTTTTGAGAACTTCCTCCACAACGCCATCTTTCTGCCAAGGTATGCCAAAACAGAGCAGAGGTGTAACATCTGCCTGACGCTGATCTCCTTAAACTGTTTACCGGCTCTGCCTCCTCTCATGTGGAGATGGCCATCAGAGAAGCTAGACTTGTTTGCCTTGATGGTTGGAAATTAGGAGTGAGGGGTTGGCCCGGGCGTAGCGGCTCCTCTGTGGAGCTGACAGGATCCGAACATAGGGGCGTAGATGGACCGGACGGGGGCTGAGCTGGCCCGCTGGGCTCGGCCCTTTTGTCGGGTGGAGCAGATGAGGAGACATGCTGAGTAGGATCCAAAGCCTTCTTAGCGCTCTTGTGGCTTTTTGTTGCCTTGGCAACGGTGGCACAGGGGATGTTAGGACCTAACAGGCAGCAATTTAGGCAACACAAACAAACCCAGGAGAGAGATGTGATTAAGGAGTCTGAAGGGCCTAGTTTGGCTGCACACTAGCTGCTTAGGCTTTTGTTCCCCACAATAGGGACTGACATCTGTGTTGTGTTATCATTTAACTTGCTCGTGGCTATGTATGTTTCACTGTTTCAAAGACTCTGTTCTTCTCGCACACTTCTCGGACAGGCTGTCACACACAATCTATATGTTTATGAACACTCCGCTTCGCCGTCCGATCCGTCACCGTGAAATATGAAGATCTTTGATGCACTTGTTGGTTTTCGTGAAGAAAACGTACGTCTTCCATCAAAATATAGATTTATAAGGCATCCTATAAATCCATATCTTCAAATGATGAGCATCCAGAGATCGTTCATTCAAACAGCGTTACAGTGACCTTATTTTCCCTCCTTTTCTTTCACAATGCTCTCATGGAATTGGATCAATATGTCTGGAAGACAAATGATAAAACATTGCTTTCTATTGTAATTTAACTCATATCATCCCCCCCCCTTTTCTCCTTCTCCACCTCTTCTCCCAGGCTGTGTTGATTTGTTATAGTATAGCTGTCTAGGAAACTAGCGGGTGGCAGGTTTCTGGCCTGCAGCAAAGGGCTCAGCCAGTGTATGCACAGACTCTCCACTGTAACACAGCCAGCATTATTACAAACCACTCCAGGGAAAGGCCTTCAAAATCGTGGAGTTTTTTTTTTTTTTTTTTTTTTAAACAAAAGTTCAGGGTTTAGACCCAGGGTGAGGGGAAAGAGGGTGTGTGAAAACAGAAACAGAAAGAAGAGGAAATGTTTTCCATTCTGTCCCCCTCGACTCGGCACTCCACTCTACTCCTCCCCTCGCACGCTCTCTTTGTCTGAGACTCTCTTTTTTTTTTTTTTGTGTTGTTTTTTTCTGGAGCGAGACAGCTGCCAGGAAATGTACAGTGAATCCATCTGGAATTTAAATGAATGAGGGAAGAGCCCCATCAGCACTAGAAGACAAACAGAAAGTAAGGAAGGCAGTCTGATTTACTGCAGGAGAGGATGGTGCCTGCCAGTATCTGTTTGGTAGACCTTGTAGTGTGATGCAAAACCTGTTATCAGCTGACTGGAGCATTTATTTACTGTAATCCCCTGCTGTTGAAAGTCATAAAGAATACATGCGAGTTAATTTAAAGCATCGAGAACTCCCTGGAAGTTACCTCTTCTTCCATCAGATCCAGAGATCTTTCAGTCTTGTGTCCTACTAAACACAGACTGAATGTGCAGTCACGGCTTTCCTATCTGGATTCCATTGCGTAAAGGTAGATCTTTTTTTAGCAAGCGAGGTCAGGACACTAACTGTAGTAAGTCACTTGTTAAGGCCTGCTTCAGTCAGCTGATGAGCCTTTTCACAGCGTTACGACTGCCCTGCTTATTCTAATGCTCTTATTGCACATACAGAAACTAGATCCCACAAATTTTCTCCCATCTGCCATATGCGTCTCTCATCTCAGACTAATGCGTCTGTGTCTTCACTCTGTAGTCTGCCGTCAGCTTTCAGAGATTTTTGATGTACTGTCAGAAAAAAAACACTGAAGTTCTGGGCTTTTGCTTTGCTGGACTGCAGCAGTTATAACTGTCAGAGAGGAATGTTGACATGTCAGTGCGACTAGCCTTTCCCACATCTCTGTGCCTGTGTCCATACACTCCTCGAGGTTTAGGTCTGCTTAAGCTTAAAGGATGCTTGACTTGCTCAGTCAGTTGTCTTGGTAGGGCTGGAAGAAGTAGGTGATCTACAGGAAAGTGTCTTTTAAGCAGAAATCCTTCTTCATTGTGAGGATTTCTGGCTTTCATTTATCTCATATGATACATTTGGATATGTTTGATTTCAAAAAGGGCTCATCTGAGATTTTAAAAAAGTGCGATAGGCATTACTGATGTATTGATTTAGACCAAATGTAGCGCGCAGTATGCAAAAACATGCAAAGTATGCAGTATGCCAAAAATACCTGGATGTCGCAGTGATTTGGAAAAAAAATGTCCGGCATGGTTCAGATCAGTGTAACTCGCTGACTGTGTTCCACAATGTAACACGCTTGAATGTTCATCAGACTTCTTTATAGGCAGAGATATTATTATGTTTTTTTTCTGGTACATGAATGAAATAATATTTTACTTTTAAGGCTACCCTTATTATGACGTTTGTTACTGTATGAGTGAAACAACAGGAGACATTAGATAATTTTTGAGATATTTTATTGAAAATAAGGGAAAATGTTCACAATTTGACAAAACCTGCACGTACATTAAAATAAAAATAAAAGAACCATTAGTCAGCAAGTTTGCTGAAAGGGCCGCAGTTTCATTGGAGAAATTTTTGCTTCCAAAGCAACAGAAATAGCAGGAAAACTAGCTTAAATTCACCTTCCATTTGCAATGAAGTTATGCAACAAAATGCTGAAGAACGCGGTCCCTGATCTGCACATTCTGAGAGAAGCGATTGTGTAAAGTTACATCAAAGCCATTTTCAGGGAAGGAAGAGATTGTTTTCAGGAAAAAACCTCTGATATGCAGAGGTGAGTTTTTAAGAGTTTAATCAATGACCATAGAGGGAATATAATCAGCTAATTAGGGATAAAATCAGCAGATTAATCAATAATTAAAGTAATTGTTAGTCGGAGTCCTGATTTCCAGTATACAGTTTGAATTTGGTATTTGCGATGATTAGTTTTGTCTGAGCTGAGCTGTTTATACTGTAATTAAGACGTAGCCAACTGTTCACGCTCTCCGCATTATGCCTTCAAACAACCCCTAAACATTTATCACTACTGCGAGAGCTCTGTAAAGCTGTCAATACAGCTTTCATTTTGTAACTCAATCAGAGCCAGGACTCTGTCTCCGCTGACAACCCTGCAGGTTTCACAGGTGGGTAAGATGCCCTGCGGTGTCTGTTGTGCGACCGCTGCTGTAACATTCACAGCTGTCACCGCCTGTTTGCCTTCAGTAATGATAATGTCCGGCTCCACGAGGCTCCACAGCTTATCATCGGCACTTTGATAGCAAGTGTCCATTCACCTCAGTGCCCTCTGTCTGACTGCTGAACAGTGGTCATGATCCCCTACAGACATTTTTTTTTTTATTGTTGATTGGGAAATGTTGGACAGCAGCTGAGTTTAAGTGTTTTTCTTGCTGTGGAAAAAAATCTGTTTTTTCCCCCCCTCTCTCTGTCTGTCCACCTTGTCTGACCTCATCCTTCTGCACAGCACACACAAGCTATACACTCACTCCACCCGCTCCAGTGAGATGTTCCAGCTCTGGGGAATTATAAACCTGCAATTACTTGTTACAATAAAATTTCCAAGACATACGCTATAACTTTAGTTTTTTTTGTAACAATAGTGCTCACTGTACTTACATCAACTTACTTACAGGTGGTTTTTTTTGTCAATTGTTCCTCTGTATTTCAGACCTCCAGACCGTCGACGCAGAGATGTTTTCGGTGTCGCAAACAACACTCTGTTTCCCGACGGTGGCAGAGGGAATACCAGTCTTGGCCCAGGGGATAACAGCACGGATGGCATTCCTCCTGTCAAAGAGTACCCCTTCTTGGAGGACAAGAGCTCAGCAGAATACTTAGAAATCCCCAACCTGCGGCCCTTCACTGTCTACCGTATCGACATTCATGCCTGCAATGAGGAGGTGGGGCGTTGCAGCGCTGGAGCTTTTGTCTTCTCCAGGACCAAACCTGCAGGTGAGAAACACAATAACCTGGATGGAGTCTATGATTGGGAAGAGAAATGTGGCACAGTGTGTTGTAACATCTTTTCTAAAAGTATACATCCTTGTTTTAATATTGCGGATATGTCTGTTCTCCAGTCAAAGCAGATGACATCCCTGGAAAGGTGATCTTTGAGAGGAGTGACAAGGTTGAAGGGTGTGTGGTGCTGCACTGGCCAGAACCCATCATGCCCAACGGACTCATCCTGATGTATGAGATCAAGTATCATCTGGGGACTGAGGTGAGTTAGGCTGGGTGTAATTTTAAATCCCCTCAGACATGTTTCAAGATACAGTAATATTCCATATATGACTTGATCAGCCACAACATTAAAACCCCCTTGTACCCCTAAAAAGCTCTGACCGTGGACAGGGGACCTCTTTGGGTGTCCTGTGGTGTCTGGCACCGGGACATTGGCACTGGATGTTTTGGGCCCTGTGGGGTGCGGGGTGGGCCCTCCATGGACTTGTTTAGCAATTTCCCTGAGGTTTTGTACCGAAGGGATCAATTCTAATTCTAATTCTGGTGGATCCTGTGGATGGTTGATGAGACTGGGAGATCTGGGGAGTTTGGAGGCTTGATCAGCCACTTGGGCTCTTTGTCATGTTCCTTGAACTGTTCCCAAGCAGCTTTTAAGATGAGGCAGGGTGGATTGTCTGACTGGGAGAGGCTGCTGGCATTGGGGAGTGTCTTTGTTGTGGGATGTGTGCTTAGTCTACAACAATATTTAGGCAGGTGGTACATGGTATCCTAGCAGAACATTGTAACAAATTGATCAATGCCATTTATGTGACCAGTTTTAATTGTTGTGGCTGATTTAATGTATACACACACAGAGTAAATACTATAAATACTGCTTGCAATAATTATCTATGTCTAATATGCTTTTTATCTGCTTCTCCTCTATTATTGAGAAGTCCAAAATCCATTGGTCATTTCCAACATTTTGCTATACAGAAGACTTCTCCTACTTCTCTGAAAAGTCCGTTCTTGTTAGTGCGGTGGAGGTTTCATGTTTCCACATTGCATAAATTGCATATTAGACAATTATAGTAACTCCAAACTAGTTGTGTTATCACAAATCATGCTCTTAGAGGCATGACTTCAACTCAGATTTAAGATATGCTCAGAGAAACGTTTCTCCAAAGCACAACCTGCAGTGCCAAACTCTGCACATTAATCGGCACAGTAAAGGTCAAACATCACTTACAGCTGAAGTAACAATGAAACGCATTTATGTGTGGACATTGGAAGTCTTAACTGTCAGTTTACAGGATGAAGATATTTGTCACAACTGAGCAGTTGCTTCTGATAGTCTTAAACTTGCTTAAGATTTTTTTTTAAAAAGCAAAAAAGCTGTGCTGTCTTCAAACAGTAACCAATTTGCATTCATTCATTTGCAGTCTGAGAAACACGGGTGTGTGTCGCGACAACAGTACCGCGAGTACAAAGGAGCTCGGCTGACCAACCTGGGCTCGGGGAACTATTCCGCTCGTGTTCGCGCCACTTCTCTCGCAGGAAACGGCTCCTGGACGGACAGCGTGTTCTTCTATGTGCCACCACCTAAACGTAATACAACTCTTCTCCTTTTACTAAACGCCATATCGACAAATTTAAAGTGATATGACACGCTCACTTCTATTTTTCTGTTCTGACAGGAGATGATGGCGTCACGTTCTACCTGGTCATCATAATTCCCATCATCGTGACACTTTTCATCGCCAGCCTCACCACCATTCTCTTCTTTGTTAACAAGAAAAGGCAAGTATTTTTGCAAGCATTCTTTCCACATTGCCAGACAAAGTTCCTTGATTAAGCTGTTCTACCTCGCTTTGCTCGTGAAGCTTAATGACCAGTGTAATGTTAATTACACTTAATGGGTGTTGTTGTCATTAACATTCCCCTGTGGTAAAGAGTCGACTTCCTATTGAGAATCGCGTATCGCATCAACAATCAGAGCTGCCTGCCGGCTAACTGAGCCCAGTTTGTGTTAACAGGAATAGCGACAGACTGGGGAATGGAGTCCTTTATGCGTCTGTCAATCCGGAGTACATCAGTGCTGCTGAGAGTAAGTATATCAGATATCTTCTCCACTTTCCATTGTTATGTACAAGTGGTGCTGACCTGCTGTGTCTTGTGCCGTGCCAGTGTACGTCCCAGATGAGTGGGAGGTGGCCAGGGAGAAGATCACTATGCACAGGGAACTGGGCCAGGGCTCCTTTGGCATGGTGTACGAAGGCATCGCAAAAGGAGTGGTCAAGGACGAACCTGAGACACGGGTGGCCATCAAGACAGTCAATGAGTCGGCCAGCATGAGGGAGCGGATTGAGTTTTTGAACGAGGCTTCTGTCATGAAGGAGTTCAACTGTCACCATGTGGTACGATGGATACGTCATAAAATACTTAGCATCCTGAATGAGGACAAAAATAAAGCAACACACTGGAATATTGGACCCAGTTGCAACCTAATTAATTGTATAGATGTAGTCAGCAGGTCATGAGGACTAACAGTATTGAATACACCGTGTGTGCACTTTACTGAGGCAGCTCCAGCCTGAGGCAGGGTTCAGCCTCCTGGAGATTGTGTACTATCTCTCATCAGTGCGATCACAGCCTCATTAACTACGTTAAATGGATGTGTTAAAGATTTTCCCTTTGGAAAGCTGCTGTTACAACCTTTTTATCAAGTCTGGCTGCTAAAAAGCCAAATACTCAATTATTAAATTCAATTTGAATAATTTAAAGGAAGGAGATTTTTTTTTTTTTTACAATCTTCAAAGCAGGTTAAAAAGTGTTTCTTTTTCTAATACAAACATATGGTGGAAAATATGAGCAGTTGAACTATTTTTTGTTTATAACCTAGAGTGCTTCTAAGTAAGTACCTTCCTCACCCCCTACTAGTTTTATACACTGAGTACCATAACAATGAAATCACTGGCGTAATGCTGTGTAGGTCCCCCATATGCTGCCAAAACTGTTCTGAGCCTCCAGGGCAGGAACATTGAACCTCTACGAGTGTCCTGTGGTTTGTGGTACCAGGAGGTTCACAGTTGATTCTCTGGATCCGGTGGGTTGTGGGGTTGGGTTTCCATAGATGAGACTTGTGATATTTGGAGAGTTTGGAGGCCGGGCCTTGGGCTCTTTGTTCCTTAAGCCTTTTCTTAGTGTACTTTGCCATGCACTCGGTCTACTGTTGTCTTGCATAGCCACATCATTCTAGCAGTGCCCCATGGTTAGTCTACTATAGAGAGGATAAAAGTTCTGGCTTGTTTGCATTTTTTCATACCAATCACAATCATCTTGGAGAAAAACCAAGCCCAGGAGGCAGCAACAGTGTCCCCTCAAAATAGTGATTGGGGCAATTGTTTTTGTCCAACATTTGCATGCAGGGAGGAAAGAACTGTCATTAAGGTGACTAATTCATTAAAAATGAAAAATAGAAAGACTGCTTAAAATTATCAGTGCAGTAGCCTAGATGTTGTTGTCATTGTTTCCTGTAGAGAAGGGATTTTGAAAACAGTAACATGCAGACAGCCAATAGGGAGGAAAATTGTATGAAATGTTTGGCCAAGTGCAGGTTTATAACCACAGTCTAGATCCAGCGAGTCAGACTAGATCTGCAGCAATGTTTAAGTGGGTGGTACATGTCAAAGTAACATCCACATGAATGTCAGCAGAAACCTGCATGGGAACAAGACGATAAATGCTGTTAATTTCACCTGTTAGTGGTTTTCATGTTGCGACTAGTTGGTGTGGACGACTCTTTGTAGTTGGTTCGTACAGAAAAATAAACATATTTTGCCTAATTGCCCACTACAATGAAATGGCACAATGTATGCTTGATTGGACATGAATCAAACTGTGAATTTAGAAATCCACTCAAACTTGACAGAAAGTTACAGTGAGCATGTGCACTACATTTTTGGAGCATTGTTGGAATTCTTTTTTTTTTTTTTTTAATTCCAACTTTCTGTCTTAAGTATATTCCTCTATGAACAAAAACCTGCTTAGTTGTAGTGAGTGGATTTGGGACACAGCTTTTGACTTATCCCAGCCAACCTGTGCTCTGTTGTGATTAATGCAGGTGCGGCTGCTGGGCGTGGTCTCTCAGGGACAGCCAACCTTGGTGATTATGGAGCTGATGACCCGCGGAGATCTCAAGAGCCACCTGCGCTCTCTGCGCAAAGAAGTAAGCAGCTTTTACTGACGCACACAAACCTCGACTGTGTATTATATACAGTCTCTTAAAGAAATAGGTGATGCTGTGAACATAAGCACATCCTGTCCCTCTTTTCTTCGTCCTCCCTCCCTCCCTCCCTCCCTCACACAGCATCCAGCCCTCACTTTGTCTTAATAACTGATGAAAGCAGAGATACATGCTATAAAGACTGACTAAAAAGTGTTTCTTTACCTTTTCACCTCATCCCCTCCTGCTCTGCCACAGAACTCCACCAGCCAGGTCCTACCCCCACTCAAAAAGATGATCCAGATGGCAGGGGAGATCGCCGACGGTATGGCGTACCTAAATGCCAACAAATTTGTCCACAGAGATCTGGCTGCCAGGAACTGCATGGTAGCGGAGGACTTCACTGTGAAGATTGGAGGTAGGTCAAGTTAATAGGATGCCTTCAGCCTCCCCAAGATTGCTCAATGCTGAACCTTGCTCTGCCAGCCTTGAAAATAAGTGTTTGGATTTCAGAGAGTGCCTGAGGCAGCGGAGTCTTAATGTAGATGGACAGAGGGAGGGAGGAGGTGAAGGGAATAGATGAGCTCTCAGGAGCTTCCTCTCCCACACAGAATGAGTGATATTTAGTGGCTTCCCCAACCTCTGTTTTCATTTTTTTTTTTTTTTTTTCTTCCTCAGATTTTGGCATGACCAGAGATATTTATGAGACGGATTACTACCGAAAAGGAGGGAAGGGCCTGCTGCCTGTCCGCTGGATGTCTCCCGAGTCACTGAAAGATGGCGTGTTCACTACAATGTCTGATGTCTGGTATGAGAACACAACACTTTCACACACACACACACACACACACAAGCCTGCATTACACATGTATGAACCTGCTCTAATCCAGGGGGCTTACAAACTATTTCAGAACCGCCTGCATATTGTGTGATACTCTGGAACAGTTCATGCTGTGGGTTATAAACTGTAGAAGCCAACAGATTCACCTCACAGCCAATATTCTTAACATTTTTTACTCAACAGTTTGAACATGCATTTCCTGCCGTGATAGCTACTATTCCCAAAACCATCAAAATCTTTTGGTCTGTGGCCGGCTCTTTGGAAATTCCTTTCGCCATGACAAAAATGTATATGACAGGAATACTTCTTTTTTTTTTTTCTCTTACAACTCTTTCATTCCAGTGTGTGGTATTTTCTCAGCTTACAGCTCTTCCACAGTTCCACTAGTCTAATTGTTTACCAGCTCCCCTGCAAGTTTTTTGTTTCCCAACTCAAAGTGTCCCACGGGTCAGTCCTGAAGAGTGGGCCTAAGCTGCTCCAGATGTTTCCCAAATGAGAGGTTGTAGTGCCAGCACAAACCCACCTCCACATTTTGTGTACTATATCTTTCTCTTTGATGTACAGCAGTTCAGTGTAAGACAAACCCACTCTGGTCTACAAGAATAGGCAACTTTATATTATTTTATTTTGCTGATCAAGAAAAGATGTCTGTCAGCACTTTCGTCCTTTTTTTTATGCAGAGTGTTTTTAAACTTTTTTTTTTTTTAGTGTACCATATGAAAATAGCAAGAGTGAACAAATATTGTGGTCATTGTTGGTGAAGCTGAAAGTTTTTCTCATGAATAGTTTAATAGTAATGTCAGCACAAAGTAGTCTGAGGTTAAACTGAGGTGATGTTTACTGTAAATACTTTATACTGAGGCTTGTCCTGCTGTAATGGAACGCTAGATGAACGTTGTCTCATATTGTTGTCCGGCATTTCAGCTTTATCAAAAGTCTGCAGCATGTAGGAATTTAACATAAAATCACTTTTTAACCACTTACAAACAGAAATGACAGCAAGTTGGGCACTACAAGCTGAGACTGCACTTATAGATTTTTTTTGGCCACTTGAGGAAGCTGAACAACATGTAAACACTGACGTAATATTATTATTCAGTTTAGAGTCGTGGGGAACTGCAGGTTCTGACATCAATGTGGTCCGGACTGAAAAGTTTCTTTAAAACTAAATAGACTGAGATGAAATTTAGTTCAGACCTTCATGGTGTCCAAAGGATGACTTCTAGTGACTTTGGTGATCATTTGATTTTTGCCAACTTTTGTCAGTTTCACTTTATTGCCACAAAATCTACACAACACATTATACAGAACATTATGCATTTTTGCTAGTGTTCGGCTCGTATGCAGTCTTTTTGGCATTTTATGAAAATATTTCAGTTGACAAATGGCTGATTTGGTTTATTGATAGCGAACAAGAAGGTGAAGTAGATTTAAATATTTTCATTTTGCTGAAGTGGGGACTTTTTTTTAGTTGTGACTGCACTCAGCAGAACTCAATGTGTTGTGACAGTATATGTTTGAGTTCAGTAATGTAAATGTTTTATCTCCACACAATGTGATATTTATAGTTAATATTCCCTCTAAGTTGTGTGATTAACATGTCTTAAAGTAGCAAATTTTGCTTAATGTATTTACTTTTGTTTTGGGGGGTTTCTTGGGTTTTTGTGATCACAGCAGCAAAGGTGTCCAAACTTTAAGATTTCACACTGTCCCGTTCATGAATTGTGTGGTTTTGAGAAAATCATTTCAGCACTACTGAAAGTTTTCACAGGAAATTTAAGTCCAGTGTTCATGTTCCCCTCAAGATGCTTTACAATCACTTTCATCTGCTACAGTGTGTCCAATGCTTTAGTTTTATGACCAAATTAATGGAAAACCCACGACATGACCATCAGCTGCAGCCACCCAAGTGTGTGTGTTCTGTTAGCATTGTGAGCATGTTATGATGCTTTGTTTTCTTTTTTTGTGTAAAAGTCATTTATTAACTGGAGTTGGACCAACCAAACCAAACAGACAGTGTAGGACATTTTGTTTTGGTGCTTTGCCTTTACTACATAGTTACAGTGTAAACATGCTGGTAAGCGAGCAGGAGAATGAAACGCAACAAACGTCTGTCCAGCTGGGAATGAAACTGGGGCCTCTGCTGAGGTTATTTCAGCCCATGTTGTGTGGACTCAAATCACTTGGCTATCGGATCACCCTGAGGAAAGGTCAATTTGCCCAGTACCTTAACGGGTATCATTTCTTTACAACATAATAGGAAGGATGTTAAATATAAGATATATCTATATAAATAAATGTCCTTGATGATATTACCCCTGGAAGATTTGACCTTTTGGATTTTGCTCTCAATGTCCACACTGACAAATCAATAAGGTAAGTAATTAAAGCTTTAAGAGATAAAAAAATAGAAATGTATGACATGAATTTGTTTTCCCCTCTCTTCTTGCAGGTCATTTGGCGTCGTATTGTGGGAGATCGCCACTTTAGCGGAACAGCCTTACCAGGGCATGTCCAATGAACAAGTGCTGCGCTTTGTCATGGAGGGAGGACTCTTGGACAAACCTGACAACTGTCCTGACATGCTGTAAGAGCGCTTCTATCTGTGACCAATTATTGTGTAATACCACATGCCCCCCCCCCTCCAGGTTTACATTTCAACACCCTGAAGGATGTATTGTTTTATCCTCTACTGCCACTGCCCCATATGTCTTCAGCCCCATTAATATTTTACCCATCGTCTATTTTAGGTTGTGGTTCAGAGCGTGAAGGATATCGTGTGTGTACGTTAAGGTAGAGCCAAAATGAGGGCTGACATTAACGTCACAGGTTAAATGCGGTTCGTTGACGACATGGTCAGCTGGCAGTGAGAAGCCTCCTCACCCGTCAGCCTCGGCCCATAGAAGGGATGCCACGATCCGTGTGTGAAAGATGCCCCTCATTCCTGCAGCAGAGCGCGGGCATGAGGAGGGAGATGGTGCCTGTCCATCAGCGGAGAGAGCCAAAGCAATAGACACAATTCATTTATTCATTTATAATTCATTAATGAATCACTCTGGCTGTTAGAGAGGAGAAAACAGAGCACAGCCTGCTTGTCAGCATGCAGCGTTGCATACATGCATTTCTCTTCTCCCTCTCTGACCTCAATAAGAAGGCATTCTGCTCTCTCCCCTCCCACTCTCCATGGCTGACCTCACCTTAGAAAGAGTGCGAGTAGAAAAAAAAAAACAAAAAAAAACGAGGGGCCGAGTGTTGTGCAGACACAAACCTCTGGTTTCTATGGCAGCCTGACTGTTTTGTCCTGATTACAGGAGTGTGTGGATTGTGTTACAGAGGTGGTGGTGGTGTTGGTGGTGGTGGTAGTGGAGTGGGGGCTTAGCCTCCTGGTCTGCGAGCAGCACACAGGGGAGTCAGGCTACTGCCGATGGTCGCCTTCTGCTGTGGTGACTTAATGGAGATTTCCAGAAGACTGCTGAAGCGTAGTGAAGCCAGACATTCATACAAAGACTGAATAGAAGGGATACAAGAAGTGGAAGTGGGCAGGATAACACACAGAGGGATGAGTCATATTTGGAGAGCTTTGAAAGTCTCCTCCTTGCACTGTTTCCCTTGTTTCTCAGGTAGCTGTGGGTCATTCATTGGATTTCCCATGTTTCTGTCTAGAGTTTCCGATGGACAAAAGTGCATTCTCTCTCGCAGGGTTGGGTGAAAATAAAAAGCAGACTGTGATCATATTAAACATAGTGATTTACTGTGGAATGCGCGGTATCACTTACAGGGCTATTATACATCAAGGTTTTCATGACACTGGGGATGTTGCATGTGTCTAACAAAGACCAGAGCATTTTTTAGTTGTGTTGCAAGAGATTCCTGTTTGGGTTTATTAAGCATTTACCATAGATGTTTGGAGACTTCTCTGCACTCACACTTGGCCCCAAATCGTGTCTGTTTCTGATTTTATCAAGGTTTTTTGGCTCATCTCTTTCATGAAAATTTGGCGGCGTCTGCATGTGTACACAATTTTGACAGTAACACTACCAGATATTTGCTTGTAACACCATTTTTTTTGGTCACAAAAGTTCAGAATCTGCTTATTATTGGCAAAGTATGCTGACATATACAAGGAACTTAACTCAAACTCACATTAGCTCCCACTAGAATTTAAGACAGCGAAGGTCATAAATACACAGGATGAAACAGGCATACAGCTAAACAAAGATAACAACCTAACCAGAGCAAATAAACATAAAAAAGTATTAGCGAGAGCAGAATCGAGGCAGGCTGACGGCTGCTGCTCAGTCAGTCAAGCTGTATTTAAACAGCACATTTGGTACATTAAAAAGGAATTCGCTGTGCCAAATGTGTGTAAACAGGTAAAGGAACACAAGCGATTAAAGAAAGTGAGAAACTTTGGGCACAGCAGATAGGAGAAGTGTAAAAAGACCTTGAGGAGGTCTCTTTACGAAAGCTAAAAAACAAGCGGAGTCGTTCTCATGCAACTGCTGATGTCCAAATGTGACAGGTCATGTGTGAGTCAATTTCGCCTAATGGCAATAACATGTGTCATGTGTGCTGTGAGTGGCAGGATGGTGACAAGAAGTCAGGATTTACTGCAATGTTTGTTTTCTAAATTTGCAGCAACAAACCTCGTGCACAGCAACAGATGGTGGGGTAGGAGTTTTCGGCAGGCAGGGCTATGCAGATAGGTTACTGCGGTGCGTCGGCCCAGCTCCAAGCATGACATGTCTTTTCATGGGAGGTCTCTGCCGCCTGGGTTTGGACATCTGAACGTCAACTTTGAGACACTTCCTGCGCTGCTGAAAAACAAGTCAGAGCCGCCACCACCACCCCCCCCTGCTGCTACAGAGTACGGAGCGAGGCGCGTGCTTCGGAAAGCACTACCCATAATTCCTGTGTGCGGAGAGGAGCTGGCACCCAGCTGCAGAGGTGGCTCTAGACGGCAAAAGAGACCAGAGAGAGAGAGAGAGAGAAAAAAAAAAAGAGGGAACAGCAAGAACAGAGTAGAGATGGCTGAGGTGTTTATGTCAGCGGGCCTTAGAGAGTATTCTTAGCTTGTTTGTGTATAATTGAAGTTGTGGTGTGCGGTGCAGCACCACACAAAACTGTAATAATTCTCCCTTTTATGATGTTGTTTTGACATTCCCAAAGCTCGGTTGCTGGCCTGGCACAGTAACCTTAAGTATGATTTACTGTCGCTGCTGAGTACATGCTACATTTCTGATCTTGCTGTGTATTATAATGTAGTAAAAAAAAAAAAAAACATTCCAATTTCACCTCAATTGAATTTGACATTAACAGTAAAATTGAACTGTGCTTTGCTATACGCCGGTAAAAGTCTCGTGGATTGCAGCAAGTTTAGAAACACACGTATTTAGTCATTGTCTGCGATTTCACTGAATTTCAATTATAGCGTTTTAATGGGAAAAGGGACAGCGTGTTCACCGAGATTACCTGCCAGCAAACCTGCAGGAAATTAATGAGCAAGTTAAAGGGATAAGGACATGCATTTGTAAGTGATTTAACACAACCTTTCTTGCATTCACAGCTACTAATAGGAAATCAAACAAAACGTAAAACATAGAACCTCAGTGTGTTTATGTGGATGCTGCACTTTACACTGTAGTCCACTTTGTATTATTAATTACACGTACATAACCCTCTGTCAAGATCAATGGAGTGAGTTTTAGTGCCAGAGCGTGTTTAAACCGCAGTTTCTCCTGCCACCTGCTGGTGACAAACAGGAACTGTCTTTACTCTGTACTTACATGGCAAGATACTGTAAACATTCCTTCTCTACATACTGGGTGTAATGTATTTAGCTCCTCACATGGCTGTGTCAAGAGGTTCACAGTTCAGTTCAGTGCAGTTTAAATTAATGTGAGGTTTCAGTTTGTCAAATTAAGCTGGAATTTGCAAAATGTGAGTTGTTTATACAGAGTTAGAAAGTGCTAAACTATGTAGTATGCAAGATGTAGATGCAAAATCGGAACCTGTGTTTTAACAAAAATCACACCAAAGTGCAAATTATTAAGACCGTCAGCTTTTGTGCGTCACTTTCAGGTTCGAGCTGATGAGGATGTGCTGGCAGTACAACCCAAAGATGCGCCCGGCCTTCCTGGAGATCATCAGCAGCATCAAAGACGAACTGGATCCTCCCTTCAGGGAAATGAGCTTCTTCTACAGCGAGGAGAACAAGCCGCCGGACACCGAGGAGCTGGACATGGAGGTAGAAAACATGGAGAACATTCCACTGGACCCTGCATCCACAAGGCAGCCGTCTGCTGCTATTGTTGTTTCCTCGTCTGGGTGCACAGGAGGAACGCCGCCTCCTTCTGCCCAGCAGTTATCCCCCATGCAAGGTCCGAGTACTCCATTACTGGGGCCCGTGTCTCACTCCCCCCCGGGCCCAGTTGCCTCAGCCTTGTCGTCTCCAGGACAAGCCTTGGACAAGCACTCAGGACATGTTTCGGCCAACGGGCCTGTGGTGGTGCTGCGGCCCAACTTTGATGAGATGCAACCCTATGCACACATGAATGGGGGCAGAAAGAACGAACGGGCGTTACCACTGCCCCAGTCGTCGGCCTGCTGATATCAGACCAGCCCCTCCTCTTCCTTTTACACAGGGTAACACAAACCTCTCCTCTATCTCTTAAGGAGGGATGGATGAGGTAAGGATTTACTTTCTTCTACTGTGTGCCAGTAGATGGTCTCTCCACTCCTTTAAAGTCAAACACAAACTCTAAAAAAAACTGAGAAACAGCACAGAAACCTGCTAAAGCATTTGGAGTTTGGTGGCTAAGACTCAACACTGGGGAACTCCTTCCTGCGCAGCCTGTATTTCAAGTCTTTGTTACATACACGTCCTTCAAGAAGGAATACAATACAGGCATGTATCCTGACTTACAGATTTACACATGAACTTAAAGAAAATCCTTTTTTTAGCATATCTGCCAGCAAAACCAATAGAAGAGCACTTTTTTCCTGATGATTTCAGAGAGGATGTGATGGATATTTGAGTGTGTATTTATACAAACACATGATTCTCTCCATAATATGGTATAGCTTCATTTCTAAAATGACTTTCCATCAAAATGACCTTCTTTCCGTGAGCAGACTGGCTCATGTTGTGTGAGGATGCCTCAATTAGAACGTTTGGACTACGATCATTACTTCACTACACCGTTGGTATTTCTGTGGGATCCCATCAGGAATGGGTCAAAGTGGTAGAGGAGGGCCTATTTTGTATCTGCCAAAATTTTGCCAAATCAATCTTTTTCTTCAGTTTCATACAGGTGTCCCTTCTTAAAGGAGGCTGTGATTCAGAGTTGAGATCAGTCCGTCTGGGCCAAACTGTTTGGTGGTTTCCAGACTGCATGCTGATCTGTAGTACTAACTGCTCTCGGAGCAGCTGTGAGTGTTGGAGGGGTTATAAACAAGGCAGAACACAGGGACTGCAGATGTGCTGCCTTCACATCTGCAGTTTTATATGCAGTGTCTGCACTGGAGTTGAATAAATCTAGCAAACCTTGAAGAGAAACAACACAAGACTGCTTTTAAGTGGATTGCGTACAGAGAAGCCAGCAGAAAAGCAGGACTGAGTAAGTTTTATTCAGGTTTTGAAACGTGATCAAAGGAGTCTGTGATCAAATTTAAAGTCAATGTTTTTTCAATTAACCGACACAATACCAGTTGAATTCTGAAGATATTTATAAAAACCAACATTTGGGAAATAATAAGCGACCACTGGATGGAGGATATAATAAAGAAATGACAACAAGATTCTAAAATCCAGAACTTTTTTCACCTGGTGTTGCATTTATAGATAATTTGCATTTCATTGATTAATTGGTTCAATCATTTATTAAAGTAGAACAACCCAGAGTTCTTTGGTTTCAGCTCAGATCTGAGGATTTGCTGGACAATGTCACTTTGGGCATTCTTCATTATTTTGTGACCCGCTTGCATACCAAACAACAAAAAAAGGCAAGTTAATTAAAAATGACAACAATCAGTCACTGCTTCTCTGTAGTTTTGAATGATTACACCTGAAAAGACAGCGTGCCGTTGCTGGTGATGGTCCTCTCAAACACACAAGTTTTACCAACAACAGTCATTCAGATCCGAGCCTAAATAACTTCCCCCTTCATCATTACCATCTTTCAAACATCTGAGGGAAGTGCACATGTGACCTGAGTCAGCAAACTCTGAATCACAGCCTCGCTCTGTCTTTGTTTAAAAAAAAAATTAGAATAAAAAATAAACAAATCAAAGCATCAGAAGTCTCACACTACAAATCACTGAACTTTACAATCTGGGGTTACGACTCTGCCTCCACTTTGATTTCTTCAAACCTTTTCTCTGACATTTTTGCATTTCACGTGGGAGGTGAACGCCGTTCGCCGATACTGCTGTTCAAACTAAACGGCACCAAATGCTCCACAACAAAACCTGAGACGTAAAAGCGAGAAGCTGTTGGATCAGATTTTCGTAGCCTAGAGACAACTTTGAAGTCACAGGAGGTCTCTTTTAGAATAGTCATTAGTTTCTCTACATTTCAAACACATATAAAGGTCTTACAGTTGTATTTTTGACTGCAGGATCGTTTTTATACACATCATTGGTTTTGTCACTTTTTTAAAAAAGAAAAAAACCTTTTTACGGTTCAAAATGTTTGCCTCTATGTCTGTACAGAACAAAGCTGCTATTTTATTCTTTTTCTCTTTTTGGATGTTATATATAAAGAAATCCTTCAGGTTTGGTATTTTACGGTCTCCACTACAGTCCATTTCTAATCTCTTCGAACTCTGTTTAAAAAAATAAAACAACAAAAACTTACCCCAAAAGGTTTTCTGTAACACTACATTTTGTTCATTGCCTTTTTATTTTTATGAAATGTTTCCTTCTTTATGTGTTTTGTGGATGTCTATATTATTATTATTATTATAATTATTATTATTATTATTATTTGGATTGGACACCTTAGCTCGATGTGTGAGCGTGTACTTTCTGCACCCTTTTTTGTACTTGTTGTCTAGCACTGCGCCTAGCATTGCCCTCTAGGTGCAACTCAATCTCAGGTCAAAGTAAAGGCTTTGCTTTCTCACACACATTCTCATAATCATCCTGTACTTGTCTCACCATGTACCCCTCTTTCTTTTCCTCTTACATTAAGTCGAATAGTGCACGTTCTCTCCTTCCCTCTGGCCCCCCTACTGACCTTAACAGCAAACTTGTACCTGCTTCCCCCCCCTGGTGCCTCCTTTTGAAGTCAGGATTCGTTCCAGTATACAAGATATTTAACTTTATACCAGATCTGGTATTTTAACCCATCCATTTTCATGCCTATTCTTGAATAAATAGGGCTAATTGGGTTGTCTTGTTTGCCTTAATTATGCCAGCCATCTTTTAAGCATTTTAAAATCCGCTTTCCCCCCCTCCCCCTCCCTCCGAATCCCCAACCCCACCCACCCGACGCTTTCAAGCACAATTCAACGCCACTTCTGCTATAATGTCACTTCTATTGTTTGTCTTCACAATCACTGCTTCAGATAAAACCAAATAAAGGATGGGTTAAAGTCCAGGGAAGGGAACACATTTCAATGTCATGAATGGAAAAAGGTCTTAAAAATGGCTGAATAGTGAAAGTGTTTTTGAAGGATTTCTCCTCATGTTGCCTGGTGATTTTATTTTATTTTATTTTATTTTTTTTCGAAGTTATTTTTTTTTTCTTTCTTTTTCTCCTGTAGGAGTGTTATTTATTTATTTTTTTTATTTTCCTTTTTGTGATATCAGTTTTAAAAAATCCCTGTATAAATGCCCCATGATTCAGTATAAAGTTGGACTTTTTTTTGTATGCATTTTCTTTGGTGTCATGACTGGGGGACTTAAAAAAAAAACGTTCTTTCTTTTTCTTTTTTCATTTTTTTCCCTTCAAGCATATATCTACCTCACTCTTTTTAAATATATGTATGCGTATGGAAAACAAATACATCTCACTCTTTCTCATCAGTTTTTACAGAAACCTCACCTGGATTTAAAAACAAACAAAACCCACAGGGATCTAGATAAACCTCACAAAGCAGACTAGGACGGGAGATGGAATGGAAGTGTTGTAGGTTCGGCCACTCCAGTCCTGGCAGAGCATTTAAGTGACTTTATACAGCTGCGATTACGAAGAAACGGCCGTGAGTTGCTGAGCATTAGTGGCAGCCTTCAGTACAGTTTGTATTCTTGTCTGGAGAAGCGGCATAAAATGTTATTGGGCATTTATATGAGA